TGCCACAGGACTCTGTCGCTTTTTACAGATCCAGACTAACACGGCTACCCCTCTAATACTTGTACTCACCACCTGATTCTGATTTGTTACCAACACATTCAGCCTTGTATTTGCATCAGAAATGCTAATGCAGTTTACCAAGTTCATGACCAGTGTAACTTACCTCACCTCACAGCTTCCTACCTGGCTATTTTGCCTATGTCCATCATAAACTATGGGCTCAGATCAGATTTCAGTCCCTGCCTGTACCTATCATCATTAAAAAGTGGTTTTGCTTCCGATCTGATTTTCTTTCTGCATATAGACGATAAGAGATATACCGGGCACCACACCAATCTAGCTGGTTCTAAACACCATTTGCTAGAGTGGCAGAGCAAGCTCCTTTGACCTTGTACCACCGGTGCAATTAGACCCCTGCATTTCAGGGCCGCCCAGAGGGGGGGGCAAGTGGGGCAATAGGCCCCGGGCCCCACAGGGGCCCTGCGAGCCCTGGCCGAGAATCCCTTCCCTGGCTACTCACCCAGCGGTGGTCTGGGTCTTCGGCGGCACTTCGGTGGCGGGTCCTTCAGTGCTGCCGAAGACGCGGAGCAAGTAAAGGACCCGCCGCCGCCACAGACTACAAGCGCCGCAGCGGGTGGCGCCTTTTTTTATGTCCGCTCCCCCGCTTTGCCCCAGGCCCCCTGAATCCTCTGGGCGGCCCTGATTCAGGAATGTAATCAGGGATGTGAAAAATACTCACGAGGGGCATGAAGGTCAGTAACGGTCGGACTCTTGGCCGAGGCTTAAGCGTTGCTGTTCCAGAATCAGTCACTGTAGTAACGCGATTATCCTCATAATACAATTCAACAACATCACCTAAAAATAAGGAGAATAGAACCTGTGAGACAGGAATAAAGCTAACTGCTGTTAAAACCAAACACCGTCATATAAGAAGGCCTGGTCTACACTAGGAGATTAGGTCAAATTTAGCCGCGTTAGGTCGATTTTATAATGAATGCGTCTACACAACCAACCCCATTCTGCCAACCTAAAGGGCTCTTAAAATCAACTTCTGTACTCCTCCCCGATGAGGGGAGTAGAGCTAAAATCGACCTTCCTGGGTTGAATTTGGGGTATTGTAGATGCAGCGCTGTGCAATTTGATGGTATTGGCCTCCGGGAGCTATCCCAGAGTGCTCCAATGTGACCGCTCTGGTCAGCACTTTCAACTCCAATGCACTAGCCAGGTACACAGGAAAAGCACTGGGAACTGTTGAATTTCATTTCCTGTTTGGTCAGCGTGGCGAGCTCAGCAGAACAGGTGACCATGCAGTCCCAGAATCGCAAACGAGCTCCAGCATGGAGCGAATGGGAGACACTCCATCTGATTTCTGTATGGGGAGAAGAATCTGTGCAGGAAGAACTCCGAGCCAGCTGAAGAAATGCTGATATATATGCCAAAATCGCACAGGGCATGGTGGACAGAGGCTATACCAGGAACACACTGCAGTGCCGCATGAAAATAGGAGTTCAGGCAAGCCTACCAAAAGACAAAGGAGGCAAATGTTGGCTCTGGGTCAGAACCCCAGACATGCTGCTTCTATGATCAGCTGCATGTCATTCTCGGGGGGGGGACCCTATCAGTACCCCAACACTCTCTGTGGACACCTGGAAGTTGGCAGCCTACGCAACATGGATGAGGATTTTGTGGATGAGGAAGAGGAGAATACGCAGCAGACAAGCGGAGAATCTATACTCCCGGGCAGCCAGGACCTTTTCCTCACCCTGGACCCAATACCGACCCAGGGCATAATGTTCTCAGACCCTGAAGGTGGAGAAGGCACCTCTGGTGAGTGCACATTTGTAACGACACCACAAGGGTTAAAAGCAATTGTGTTTAGTGTTTGATTTGCCCTGAACAAATGGGATGCATTCGCGGCCAGTACAGCTACTGGAAAAGTCTGTTAACGTGTCCGGGGATGGACCGGGAATCCTCCAGGGACATCTCCATGAAGCTCTCCTGGAGGTACTCTGAAAGCCTTTACAGAAGGTTTCTGGGGAGGGCTGCCTTATTTCGTCCTCCACGGTGGGACACTTTACCACGCCAAGCCAGTAGCAAGAGGTCTGGAATCATTGCAGCACAAAGCATGGCAGTGAATGGTCCTGGGTTTTGGTCGCATTCATGCAACATTCGGTCTTTATGTTTCTGTGTCAGTCGCAGGAGAGTGATGTTATTCATGGTCACCTGGTTGAAATAGGGGAAGTTTGGTAAGGGAACAGTAATCCCCTCTGTTTGGTGATCCCCGACACATTAGACCCCGGGCATGCTGGGCTGTTTGCGCTTGGCTAAAAGGGATCATCCCGGAGAATAGCCACACAGGCAGGAGGGAGGGGGAAGGGGTATGCTGCACACCCACCCCAAAACCCCAGCCCCTCCTTTTAAATGGCAAACCCAACCGGCATTGGTTGCTATGGGAAAGGAGGGTGCTGCAGTTTGAAACCATTCCCACAGAATGGTTCATATTATGAACGCAGAAGAAGCCAACCCCACATACCCTTTGGCTTACCATGGCTGCCTGGAACCCGAATTCTGTTGCCCAGCCATGCGTGATTCATAGATTCATAGATTCTAGGGCTGGAAGGGACCTCGAGAGGTCATCGAGTCCAGTCCCCTGCCCTCATGGCAGGACCAAATACTGTCTAGACCATCCCTGATAGACATTTATCTAACCTACTCTTAAATATCTCCAGAGATGGAGATTCCACAACCTCCCTAGGCAATTTATTCCAGGGTTTAACCACCCTGACAGTTAGGAACTTTTTCCTAATGTCCAACCTAAACCTCCCTTGCTGCAGTTTAAGCCCATTGCTTCTTGTTCTATCCTTAGAGGCTAAGATGAACAAGTTTTCTCCCTCCTCCTTATGACACCCTTTTAGATACCTGAAAACTGCTATCATGTCCCCTCTCAGTCTTCTCTTTTCCAAGCTAGACAATTCTTTCAGCCTTCCTTCATAGGTCATGTTCTCTAGATCTTTAATCATTCTTGTTGCTCTTCTCGGGACCCTCTCCAATTTCTCCACATCTTTCCTGAAATGCGGTGCCCAGAACTCGACACAATATTCCAGTTGAGGCCTAACCAGCGTAGAGTAGAGCGGAAGAATGACTTCTCGTGTCTTGCTCACAACACACCTGTTAATGCATCCCAGAATCACGTTTGCATTTTTTGCAACAGCATCACACTGTTGACTCATATTTAGCTTGTGGTCCACTATAACCCCTCGATCCTTTTCTGCCATACTCCTTCCTAGACAGTCTCTTCCCATTCTGTATGTGTGAAACTGATTATTCCTTCCTAAGTGGAGCACTTTGCATTTGTCTTTATTAAACTTCATCCTGTTTACCTCAGACCATTTCTCCAATTTGTCCAGATCATTTTGAATTATGACCCTATCCTCCAAAGCAGTTGCAATCCCTCCCAGTTTGGTATCATCTGCAAACTTAATAAGCATACTTTCTATGCCAATATCTAAGTCGTCGATGAAGATATTGAACAGAGCCGGTCCCAAAACAGACCCCTGCGTAACCCCACTTGTTATACCTTTCCACCAGGATTGGGAACCATTAATAACTACTCTCTGAGTACGGTTATCCAGCCAGTTATGCACCCACCTTATAGTAGCCCCATCTAAGTTGTATTTGCCTGTATTTGCCTAGTTGGTGATGTGTCACCATACTGGCAGGCGCTCAATATAAAAGGCAAAATGCGATCTTGTACCTAAAACACATGTGCTGTCTGCTGTGAATTTCTTGCTTCACTGTGAAAGAGTCTCCCTTTTGTTCTCAGAAATGTATCTATGCTTTGGCGTCTGCAGGGATAACCCAGGAAAAAAGGCGCGAAATGATTGTTTGCCGTTGCTTTCAAGGAGGGAGGGAGGTGAGACTGACAACATGTACCCAAAACCACCCGCGACAATGTTTTTGCCCCATCAGGCATTGGGAGCTTAAACCAGAATTCCAATGGGCAGCAGGGACTGTGGGATAGCTACCCACAGTGCACCACTCCGTGAGTCGATGCTAGCCACGGTATTGAGGACGCACTCCGCCGATCTAATGCACTTAGTGGAGACATGCACGATCGACTTCTATAAAATCGACCTAATTTCGTAGTGTAGACATGCCCAAAGTGGTGTGGTGAATCCTAGGTCATCTCCCTCCCATTACTAGGAGAACTCCATCTGTTTGGATAAGAAAACTCAAAGTCTGATGCTTAGCCGGATCTCTTGGGTTGAAGATGCCATGAGAACAGGCTTATATACGCTTTCAGGTGTTTGGGGAATCCTCAAGAAAAGGAGGGTCCTTGGTTCTGATACTTGCTCACTCTGGTCCATCGGAACCTCTCTATAGGTACTTTAGGACATGATGCACGTCAGCTTCTGTCTGACTGTTCCTTAATAGCAGGGGTTTCAGTCTGTTGGTCAGCCGGTGAATGTAGAACTAGTTCCCCACTTGCTTAGGGGCTATGTTTACTGTGTGGATCAGCTTTCTGGTACCATGGGGAAAGGTGCCTAAAGAATCACCATCATCAGAGCTAAATGGAAAATGTCAGCAAATTAAATGGGGAGGAAGAGCCAGAACAAAATCGTTTGCAAAACTTTGTTTGCGCTTTTCGAACCAGCTCCAGTTGCAATTAATTTACAGTGACCAGGGCCCTGATCCTGCGAACACACGAGTAGCTGTTTGTATGGAATAGGCCCATTGAACTCAGTGGAGCTTCCCAGGTGTTCAGTAGTAAGACACCATCTCCAGTGTCCGGTATGTGCTCAGTGCTCTATGTCACAGGGTGTTATATCTGCAGATTAAATGAGCTCTTGTTATAGGAAATAAAAGAAAAAGTCTTAATAAAACCAGGCGAGGAGAGAGCATCTGAGCCTAAAGAACACAGATTTATTAGAGCATGTGGGTCTGCGTTAGTGGGTTATTTTTACTGCTGTTCAGTATTAATAAAGGTCTGTCTCAGGTGGACCAGACTTATAAAGCTGGCATCTGATTCACCCTTTGGGAAGGAGGGAGAAGATTCAGAAAGGACTGGAAGAAAACAGATGACTGTGCAGTGAGACTGTCTCTGACAGTCCCTCAGGCCCCCTCCTTATGTAAAGTAGCTTGGCTGGTTTCATAGCTGGATCAGTGGCTGGCAGTAGCACACAGACTGCAGGGCTTGGCTGATAGACAGTGTCTGTCTTCTCTCTTGCTGGTTAGCAACCAGATGGATTTGGGGGTGACCGAGATCAATTGATGGCCTCTCTTTCTACCTCTGCCACAGAATCCCTGCTGAATCCTGACCTACTACCCTTGGCGCCTGTCCCCATCCGGACAGTGGCATATCCCTACAGGCAGGGCGGTGGCCTCCAACATGTGGGCTTTGCTGCTGGTATTATAGGCTGCTGTAGCTCTACAACAGATCCCCATCGTTTAGTCGTGCAGCAGAGAGGGACAATGGGCCCTTAGTGTTGCTCAGTAGTAGTATCCCAGCTCCCTGGGCTTGGCAGCCTGCACCAACAGCTCCCCTTCTCAAGCTGCTTACAGCAAACACTGAACAAAGCAGCAAAGGACAAGCAATTTGCAGCGTCTCTCTCCCACCGAGCTTTAATAGTAGAGCCTGCAGAAGGAAGGGGCACATGCAGTGGCTTTGCAAGCAGCCACGAAGCTTTCCTTCCGGCACTTTCCTTTACTGCCCAGGCTGGGAGGGGGCTTTGGAAATGTTCAGAGGTAATAATGCCTTTGGTTGGGTCAACAGTGGGGATTGAACCTGGACCTTCTAACCTGGCTGAACCATAAGGTTGGTGTCAGCAATAGCTGACTCAAACTCGTTACATGGT